TCCATAGCAGTTGCACCGTAGTCCTCTAGGGCAGCTTTTGGAGGACTTTCCAGCAGCCCCTTTGGGAATCTTTGCAGGTCTCTATCAGCCTCTGCTAAATGCAGAAGCCACTGGTCACTGCTGCGGGTCAGCGCTGATGATCGCTGCTGCCATTGTCGGTCTCTGTTGGTCTCTGCTCTGGCCTCTGGAACCCCTCAGGGTGAGCAGCCCTAGAGTCTGCCTCTCTTTTCATGTGGCCTGCTCTGTAGATGCGACCCAAGGCGAGAGTCAGGAGAGGTACGGGGCTGCCTGAGCAATGCAGAACTGCAGCCGATGGGGAGGAGGGGGGGGTAGTGCTCCAGAGGGAGCCCTTGAACTCTGCAAAGGAGCGCAAAGGTGCGCGGCCTCTGCACAGCAGGAGCAGCCTGTGCGTGTGTGCAGTTTTGTGCCTTTCACTGCCCTGCTTGGGAAGTTGGGAAATACTGGCAGAGATGGCAGAATGAAGGTCACAGGGTGGAGTCACCAGGCATCCTGGGGTGAAGCCATCTGGGATTGGAGTTTCAGGCCTGCTACAGCCAAGGCAAGTGTCTGCTGAGTGGCTGCGGAGTGGAGGATATCGCTGCTGTCATGGGCACAGTTTGGTGAATTCCTAGCAAAGGCTGCTTGATTGCCAGCTTCTGTTTCTCCCCATACACGGAGGGTTGAAATCATGGCCGCTTTTGCCTTCAAGGAAACTCCAGAAGGGCCAGTCTGCTGACTATGAACTCTTGGGGTGAAGGGGTTTGGGGTATGTTAGTGATGGCCCTGCTCTCTCCCCATCTTGCCCATCAAGCATGGCTTCCTGGTCACTCATTAGAGAGGCTGCAGCAGCTCCTGGAGTGGTGGTGGTCATCAAATAGGGGCATTGTGGTTGTCAGCCCAGTGGTGGTGTCAGCACAGTTGGTGTGGCCTGACAGTGGCCACTGGAGCCACCACAGTGGGGCAGGAAGATGCTGGGGCTGGTTACCAAAGGCCACTTTAAGGAGGCCACAGAGAGTGGAGAGAGAGGTGTGACAGTTGTCAGTCAATCCCCTCCTCTTCCAGCTGTCAGAGGGGAAAATGAAGGGTCAAGCCCCAAGTCTTCCTATTCTTGATACACAGAGTTTAGCTATACTGCGTGAAAAAAATGTTCACAATAGAATTTATAAAACTAGGAAGAAGAAGGCCAGTAACCAGGCTATTTGTAATCCATTTGCTTGATATTGTTCTATAGCTCCTGAGATTTGAGTACAGTCCAATAAGCCAGTGCACTGGCTTGCCCACAGCTAGAGTGAACTGCAGACCATAAGGAAATGAGTTATTTGGCATGCTAAGAAATACGTTGTCACTGGTATCATGTGGGATGAACAAAAGCATTAACTTCAACAATGGCTTGGATTAGTTTGGCAAACCTCTCTGTTAAGTAAAATAGTAAACATTTTAGACTTTGCAGGCATAGGGTTCTGACAAGCTCACCTCTGCCATCGTCATGGAAAGCAGTCATTGACAATCCATAAATAAATGAGCCAGGTTGTGTCTCAGTAAAACTTTATTAACAAAAACAAGTGGCAGTCTGGACTTGGTTCACAGATTGTAGTTTTCTGGCTTTAGTGCTCATTTGTGTGCATTAATATTTGTTTGGTATTCCCTTCTTATCATGAAAAAATTGAATAACCTTTGTAGACTATCAAGTATCAAGGTGTTACTTTTAACATAATACCTTTTGGTATAGTTTAGACTCATTTCAGCAGTCATTTAAAAATTTAGCTCTGACATTATAGTATTTGTGGCATTATAATTTTACTGTGGCTCATTAGAAACCGTATGTTTTACAATCTGGATTAGTCATTTAACATCTTTAGACCCCTGAAGAACCACTTATGAAATGAAAAAAATTACTGACTACACAAGGTGGGTGTACATTTTACATTAATCAAAAATCATTTCTTGCAAGTGCCTGAAGCCCAGCTCAGATTATTTTAAGAAAACAGGGAGGTTAATTGGGTCACACAATTGAAAGTACAGGAGCCCGGCTGGACCCGGAATTGGAAATGCAATATCCAGGGCCTCTCTTGTGTGCTTAACAAGTCTGCTTATCTGTCTCTTCTTATTTGCTATTGTTTTGTGCAGTTCTACTGAAAAAGAAACAAACAAAATAGGCTGACTCCAAATGGCTGGAAAGATGGCTCTGGCTAACCCACACAGATAACCTTACAGTTTATGATAAACAGGGAAGCAAATATTCTTTCTTAACATCCATGTATGCAGTTCCATGTGGGATTGGTGCAGCTAGCTCGTTCACCCCATGAAAGATCATGGTAGCCGGAAAACTGGAGATGACAAGGCCCATTGTGTTTAACAGCCTGTCAGCGTGGACAAATGGTGCTTGAGGATGCCAGGACTTGATCCTAGAAGAAGAGTGGCTCCTTGGTAATAACAAACATGTTGTGATGCCACTTGTATGTGATGCCACTGTAACTGCAAAGGTTTGATCAGAAGAAAAGTAGAACCACTAAGACAGGTCTGTCCTCTCTGTCTCTACTCACAAGTAGGGGTTTATTGACCTTATGAGTTGTGGGAGCTGATAGTGATCCTCAGGAGGCTGGTGTTTCTTTAGTACTGGAGCCTTAACTGTAAAGAAGAAGCAGTTGAGAAACAAAGGTGGATATGAAATAAGGGAAGTAAGGATAATCTGGAATCCATGAGGCTGAGTTTGAACCAGAAGGATGGAGGAGAATCTTTTTCTCTGACCACTCCCAACTTCAAGGGCGCAGGTATTCTAAGGAAGGGCTGGTGTACTTTATCTTGAAGATAAAGATAAAGATAAAGATAAAGATAAAGATAAAGATAAAGATAAAGATAAAGATAATGTTGGCCCAAGCATTAGAAAAAATAAAACAGCAATCAGCAGAAACTGTGGCCTGAGGCGCTGCTCCACTGACCTGGCAAGCCCCACCCATGGGACACATGTGCTGCTCCCCTCGCCAACTTTTGGAGCACAGAGTACAACCACTGCCTCTTCCCTGCCTTCCAACACGCTCCAGTGAGCAGAAGGCTTTTTTAACATATACTTACTGACCCGGTACTATGCAGAGAAAGGAATTACGGGAAGCAAATTCCAGTTTAGCTAACTACACAATTTGGACCGCACATATATGTTACTATTTTTTCCTAATGCCATAGCCATCCTTTTACACGCTATGATACTGGATCTGAGACTGAGAACCATGTTTCTGTGTTATCTGCTAGCTTTATGTTAGGGTCTGGCAATAAGGAGCGCTAAACAGGCCTTTCTACTTCTGCAGGCTTCAGTTCTGCTGGTGAGACTTACCTAGCGTGTAGTTTCAACGCATCAGCATAAGGAGACTAACAACAGATTAGACCACGCAGAAGAAGAGATTAGTGAGTGTGAAGCCGTGGCAGTGGAAATGATGCAAAATCAAATGGGGTAAAAAATCAGAGTGGAGAGATGTTTGGTCTTGCCATTTCTAATTTCTGTTCATTATCATATTAGAGGTTCTAACCAATGCAATCAAGGAGCAAAAGAGGAACAAAGAATTTAAACATGGACAGGAAATGGCCAACCCATCTTTATTCATGTATCATCTGTGTAGACTACACAACAAAACCCAAGAAGGTTACCAGAACTGAAAATTGAGCCTGGCAAAATTGGAAGATATAAATCAACACACAAAAATCAGTATTTGTGTGTTAGTGATGATTAAAAAAAATAGAATATTTTAAAATGTCAAATCTAAGTACTTTTGGGTAAGTCTAACAAAAGCCCCTAAAGACTTCTATGGTAAATCTTTTAAATATAAGAGACATTAAAGAATATCCAAATAATTCAAGTGATATATCATGTTTATGGCTCAGAGATACAATATAACTGGAAGGTCAGTTTGTTCCAAGGATCAACATAATCCCAGTTGTTCAGAAATTGATGCTAATTCTAAAATTCACAGCCCCCAAAATAATCCACAGAACTTTCAGTCCCATTTTATTTCAAGATTTTATTAATCATCACAAAGATGGGACTGAATAGAGATCAGAAATAGAACCAACTGATTTTCAACAAAGATACAAAAGAAATCTAGTAAAGAAAGTCTACTCTTAAATTAATAATATAAAAACACATCTGTGTACACACACTACCATCCATTCCTTGAACATAAAACTTAGCTTCAAAAGGATCACAGGTCTAAGGGTAAAATTATAAAACCTCTAGAAGAAAGCAAAGGATGGAATTTTGTAACATTAGCTAGCCAAAGTTTTGTTAATGTGACCTCAAAAATATAATCCAGAAAACCAAACATCGGCAAACTTTACTTCAAACTTTAAAACTTCTGTTGAATGATATTCTTGGGCTGGGGATTTAACCCAATCGTAGAATGCTTGCCAAGCATGTGTGAGAGCTTGGGTTCCTTCCCAGGACTAAAAAACAAAAACCAGAAAAACAAAACCAAGAAGAGCAAAAGAAGAAAAGGTATTCCTAAGACAATGGAAAGACAAGGTAAGAACTTAGAGAAATCATTGTCAATCATATATCTGATAAAGGACTAAACACTGGGCCGGGCATGGCGGCTCACGCCTGTAATCCCAGCACTCAGGAGGCTGAGGCAGGAGGATTGTTGTGAGTTTGAGACCAGCCGGGTCTACAAAGTGAGCTCAAGGCCAGCCTGAACTGCATAGGGAGACTCTGTCTCAAAAAAAAAAAAAAAAAAGGACTAAAAGCTGGACCTAGTAACTTCAGTGAATGTAAACACTGTATGCCGTAAACATGAACTAAGATTAATAATATCAACAAGATGGAAATGAAGGAAGAAAGATTAGAGGAGGAGGGAGAGGGAGGAAGGGTGTAGAGGATTAAAAAAGGAAACAAGCCATATCATGAAATGTACCTGTTCTCCAAGATAATTGTAAACTGCATGTACTGCCACCATGAATTAAGGAAAAAAAGTTTTTAAAAAAGAATTTTGCAAGTTGAATAAAAACAATCAACCTTTAAGAATGGGCAAAAGGTTTTAATAGAAACTTCACTGCAAAAGATATACAGGCAGCAAACTATCACATGAAATGGAAAATGAAAAGAAAACAGCGAGACATCACCACAACCTATTAAATGTGCTCAGAGAGATGTGGGGAAGGGCTGTAGGACGCCCTTCCAAACCAGGGTGCTTGGGAGACAGAGAGAAGGGGCTGGCCCGGACACACAGGCAGGGTGTAGACGGGTCTGCCCCCCCCGGCCTCCAGAGAACTCACAGCCCTGGCCATAGCGAGCATCACTGCTCATCTGCATGCCTGGCCCAGAGAACTTCATCAGACATCTGACCTCCAGGGCTATAATACAATAAATCTGTGCAGCTTTAAGTCACTAAGTTTGCAACTATTGGTTATGGCAATCCTAGAAAACTAGTCCTTAGAAACGTAAAGAAAGTGCTCACATATTATTCAGCTAAGGTCGAAATGATCTTTTGGAATTCCACTAGGAAGTAAAGTAACCTTGGTTTCGTGCTATTAAATATTGCAGCTAAACATAGTAGCCAAATGTAGCCACTGTATATTTAATTTCAATTGATTTTCATTTGAACAAAAAACTGAAACTCTAGTTATTAAAAAATTATAAAATAATTTGAAACAATGTGGGTCTATGAACACACTTTCTCCTGTAAATTTTATGATATTTAAATATAGATTAAATATTTTCAATTAAAAATGAGTGTCCAAATTGAAAGTCTGAGTATGAAAAGCATAAAGTGAATGTGTAAAAAGAAAGTAAAATATCTCTTGAATAATTTTATATTAATTGCATGTTGAAATGACGGTATCTTGGATATTTGAATTGATTTCACCTGTTACTACTTTTTTAAATGCTGCTACTATAAAATTTTAAATTACATATTTGTCTGGCACATTTCTATTAGACACTGCTATTTTAGATTTTGCTACATCTTTAATATAGTTTATATGAGGGTGAGACTCCAGGAAAGGACAAGAGGATTGCTAAGACTAAGAGAAGAGAAAATGGAAATTTTGTGTCTTCATTTTTAAATATACCTCAAGGTCATGATTCTTGAGCCTGATTTTCAAGAATAAATTACATTTCAATATATTTCAACCAGTCATCCAAACCTTCCTTTTGTACAATAATTTAATACTATCTGGTACTGTTGGCAATATCTGAGCCATTGGCTAAAGTTGTCTTAAATATTTTTCAATTAAATAGACTGATTTCTGCAATAGGAATTTATAGCATAGGCCTTCGGCAAGATACATTTTTTTTTTTTAGTTCAATATTTAAAAAAATATATCTTGGTTTCTTAAGAAAAAAGAAGAAAAGGGAAAGAAAAAAGACAGCTAGTCTTTTCATTACATTTTAAGCTAAAACATTATATTTAACTCTGAATGTAATAAATCCCAATGCATAAGTGGCATATGCATTGTGATCTAGTTAGATGATCAATGTTCATTTGACTAGAGAAACAAATTTAAAGTTTGAAGTAGAATTTCAACAGCTTTTGGAAACAGAAATTGCTGGTTTTAAAAGTAGTCAACATAAACCTCCCGGCTGCTGTCTGGGTCCCAGGTGAATGGAAACGACTGACCCTGCATGGGTGGCAGCCAGACCTCAGCCCCAGAGGACAGCTTGTCTCCAGCACTGCGACGGGGCCTCGGGCTTGAGCCTGAGAGGGAGACTAACCTGTGTCTTTAGAAATTTGGATTTTGCTGGGCCATATCTGCTGGCTCTGTCAAGAGCTACTCTGGCCCGTCCTGTGTGACTCTGGTGCCAGAACTGCCACAAAAAACACAGGGTGCCAGGCTAAATCCGAATTTCAGGTGAACAACAACTGTAAATAAATAGGGCAACTCCAGCCAGTGGCCTCCTTAATCAGCGGGGCACGCCGGCGGGCAGGTGACCTGGGCTTGGCGAGTCCCTGCGTGCCCATCACCCGGTTCGGTTCTCAGTGGTGGGTCACAGTGATGGGCCTGATGTGCTCTCCCCTGCAGAGCCAATCCCAGCCTTCGCATGGGACGGGGGACAGGAGCATCCTGCCTTGGTGACCACAGCCGCAAGGATGGGAACCCGGAACCTGTGGCACCGCCTTTCTTGCCAGTCTCAGGAGGAGAAGGCTGAGGACAAAGGAGGCCACGAAGCCTGCAGCGCATGTGCCCCAGCGGGTTCTTTTTCTTGGCGGTGTCCTTGGTCATTTGTGCCGAAGTTTGATGGCAATTCGGTTTTCTCTCTCTGCCAGTGTAAAGTGAACTCATACTGCAGGGCACATAACCTTAAGCCAGCCTCTTAGCCGTGATGCCCCTGGAAGCACCGACCTTCTCACCTGCTTGGTGTTACTTCTCTGGAGTTCTACTGGGCAGGGCTGTGGTGTCTGGGTGAGATATGTCTTGAAGCATTTGTTCTTTGATAGCAAAACCCACAGTGTTGTTGCCAGGAGCACTGGGAGGAGGCAGCAAGCTTCTCTTTCAAAGCGGACTTCCATGCACAGAGTGAGAGCGTGTTTTCGTCGCCCACTCCTGCTCTACATCGCTCCACTGACTTCCTGTCACTAGGCAGCCTCTGCAAACTTCAGTGTGCCAACTCCCAGGATCCTCAACCCGAGCTGGTGCCCCCGCTCCAGTGGAGAAACAAGTGGCTGGCATGTCGGCTTCCATCACAGGCTTCAGAGGCACTGGCTGAGCAGGAAGAATTGAGGCAGGACTGGCTTTGAATCTGCAGGGTCCAATGCAAACAGTATTTTTAATGTACTACACCTTGCATATATTAAGAGCTGGTGCTGTCACTTCCTTGGGCCAGTTACCTGGAGTCGCTAACCTTCAGATCCTGGTATAAAGAGGAGATACATGCATCTGCCCCTGAAAGATAACTTTGAGGATTAAGTGAAATAATGCACTTAAGACATCTGGCGTGGTTCCTGGCCCAGGGAACTAAATGCTCACTATCATGGCTATAAACAGGGCTCAATAGCATATTATGCATGTACTATTTCACTTAATCCTAATGACTCCCTGGAAAGGTAAATGTCATTTCAGAAAGTATGCTAAAGCTGGGAGGGCTAAGGACTTTCCCAAATGTCTCTATCACTACTCAGCGGGCCATAACTGACACTTCAGGTCTTCCTGATTCTAAAGCTATACCTCTAATGCTATGTGTATTGTCTTTGTCTGTGTCATCTTCCTTCTCCCCTTCCACTTGCAAGTGCTTATTTTCTGTCTGCCTTCCTGTATCTGCCAGTGATAAGGGAGGTCTCTCACACACAAAAGTTTTAAGGTCTGGCTGCCTAGCCTAGTGGAAGGATGCCAGGGTAGTATGTGTGAGACCTTGAGCTCATGTACCACAAGGATTTCATAAAGTTAATGTGTTTGGACATTCTCAGTTTCCTCTCCATGCCACTATTGCTTAGGGAAAGCAAAGCAGAAATGAAAGTGCTATTTATCTATCATCTATCTATCTATCTATCTATCTATCTATCTATCTATCTATCTACCTACCTATCTGACTCTCTGCATATCTGACTTATGAAAACCAAAGAGCAAGCACTTACCACAAAAGCAATGGTACATCTACAGCCCAGTGGACACTTGCAGACTGATTTGAGAGCTAAAGGTGTTAATCAAACTTCAGCCAGGACACCCTCTGAACACTGAGAAGGAGACCCTTATTCCATGGCTCCTTTTCATTTGTCTTCCTCCCTTATTTTTTCCATGACAGATCTTGAGAGATTAGAATTATGCAGAATGCATTCTGGGGAAAATTGGCCTAGATGTTTGTATTTTAATTAATGACTGGGAAGACCAAAGTGATTTCAGGAAAAACCCTAACAATATTTCAGAGACTAATGAGACGAGGAAGAGAGACGTGTGGCAGGCGCCCTTCCAGCCTCCTCACCATCGTACCATGTTCAGTCGTGCCTCTGCCCTGAAGGACTGGTGGGCTTTAGAACTTTGCTTTTCTATTATTAAAGACAGTGTACACAACAGGGTTACTGTTAGGGTGGGTGAAATTGCATGATAGAAAACACTTAGAATGACTGAAAATAAAAATGATCAGTAATTGCTATGAACGTCAAGTCCAAGTCCAGTCTCACGGATCTGAGTAGGTTTGAGATATGGAGCTCACAGGCACTGGAGGGGGCGCCGTTTTCAAAGTCTCATTGTTTATAGGTACGATAAACCTACTCAAGCTCTGACAAATAAAAGGCAGTTTATGGTAATGACCCAGTTCTCCCCAGTGCTGAGGACAGAAAAAAAAAAAGTGGAGTATGGTATTTGAGCAATAGGAAAGTCCCCCAAACCAAGGCCTGTTGTGACTTTTACAGCTGGAAAGTATCAAATTTCTTTCTCTGTCTCTCTGTCTCTCTCTGTCTCCATCTTTCTACTTCAGTATCTGCTCATGTCACACATGGTTACCATGCCTTTGCCCACATGCCCACATTAGTTCTAGCAGCTACTTTTTCTGTTTCTTTGTTCATACCTGTAACGTGGAGAATGTGACTGACACAGGGTTTGGTCATATGTCTAACCTTGGTCATCAGATCTGGCCATGAGGTGGGTTTGTGGGCTGTGAGCAGGCAACACGACAGGAAAGGCAGTGATAGGTATGTCAGGTACACGCGCCTGAGGACACCTGGCAGCAAGACTACAGATCATCGAGCAGCGTTTAATACAGTGTCACTGGATGTTACTAGAAAATGAATCTGAATCCAGGACCTTCGCCCTGAGCTACATCCCCAGCCTGCGTCTATATTTTTATTCAGAGATAAGGTCTTGCTAAGGTTACATTGCCCACACTGGGCTCCAATTTGCCATTCTCTCACCTCAGCTTCTCAGAATGCCCAGCTACAATGGCTAATCTTTCCTTCTCCTTTGATTACATTTTTTTCTGGGCTTCATAGAATTAGCAGTTGGCTCTCTGGGACCTTAAAAATCTATCCTGCCCCCTAGATTCTGAGCTTTTAACACCTTTCTTCCTCCCTCCTTTTCTCTTTCCTTCCTTTCTTCCTTCTCTTCTTCCTTTTCTTTCTCTTAACTTTCCTTGCTCCCTTCCTTCTCTCTCCCTCCCTTCCCTCCTCCCTCCTTTCTCTTCTTTCTGTCTCTCTTTCTTTCTTTCTTTCTTTCTTTCTCTTTCCTCCCTCCCTCCCTCCCTCTTTTTCTTCCTTCCTTCCTTCCTTCCTTCCTTCCTTCCTTTCTTCGTTCCTTCCTTCCTTCCTTCCTTCCTTCCTTCCTTCCTTCCTTCCTTTCTTCCTTCCTTTCTTCCTTCCTTCCTCCCTTCCTTCCCATCTATGCTGTGCTGTTGAGACTAGTCTGTAGCTACCCCCCTATCTAGTCCATGAATTGGTCTCCGGATTCTTCCACTAGAGGCTTCAAACATCAAATTATGGAAAGGAATTTAAAAAACAAAGTCAGAATAACTGGTCTTCATGGGCCAAACCTAACAGTTTTTTCCAAACATTAATGGCAAATATTCAGAGAAGTCAAAAGAACTGGGATAAGTTGGGACCAAAAGACCCTAAACCTAGTTATGTCTAACCCATCTGCCTCACAAGGAAGAGAAGAGGAGCTGGGTGACTTAAATAAAAGTGGTGAGGAAAAACATCTGTACACGTTTTCAGTTTAGGGGAACAGAATTTGTTTCTCCTCACTAAGGATATTGCCTGGTTTTCCACAGATGATTTAAAATTTTTATGAATTTCAACTGGACTTCTTTCACTAATGTGACACATACTACTGTTAACAAGAAGGCAGTAGACAGGAAAGTGGCATCTTCTGACCAGACAGTGGCTTTGATCTCAGTTCTTTGCTTGCATTGAAGAGGACCCTCTGAAGTTCAGGATGCCAGGCCACAGTAAGGCTTTGTTTTAGCTTGAGGGAAGGATGTGTTATTCTAATAGCACTACTTGGAGTAGACCTCATAAGCAGTTTTCTCCCCTGAGGAAGACGGTTTCCTGATCAGCTATTGGGGAGCGGATAAGCTAAGAGAAAGAGTCCAGCACTTTATGGGACGTGTAGGACAAAGAACAATGGAAATAGAGAAGGAGCTGTGATAATGGAAGATCCTGTTCACTCTCAAGTGTGTGCACAATTACTCAACAGGGAGCAATGTGTCAAGTGAGAAAAGCTGCGTCATCTCAAGACAAGGAGTCCGTTTCCCTGCAGAGCATGCCGGCTGCTCACCTAGCACAGCATCAGATCTATAACATGACAGCTCAGGCCAGCCCAGAAAAGGACAAAGCAGGTGACACCTGCAAAACCACAGCAGCAGGACCCATGGAGGTGGCTACTGACCTCCTGTCAAATCTCTAGGGAAGGAGAAATTGTACTGAAATGAGGCATCTAAGTTAACTGACCTCTAAATGAATTGCAGTCCTGTATAAATTCTCCAAAGTGTTTTTGGATATTTCCCAATAGTTTTCTTGTAAAGAACCTCATTCCCATTTCATTTCAGTAGACCATCTGGCTTGAGGTAGACCTTGGCTGTGTCCACTCGGCACAGCTTCAAAGGAGCAGCCTATCAGACATGAAATTATAATGCAAACTCCAGGCCCAGTTACAGCTGCGATGTGGACAGGAAGAGCCATGAGGCAGATGAGACTGGCCTTGCATGCAACAGAAAGAATAGCTCCCGTGAAGGGCGGCCCCATCTACCTCCGACGGTCTGGTGGATGCGTGGTCTGAGTGACACGCATATCAATTACTCTGTAAGCATTTAGAGATTATCTATTATATGTCAAGTCCTTTTCTGAATGTTTCACATGTATTAACTGACTTACTTCTTATTACAATTCCTTGAGGTGGGTGTTGTTTCTACTCTATTTTACAGTTTTAAAAACGGAGGCAAAAGAGTGACCATAATTTGCTTTAAGTTAAGTTGTTAGTAAATGGTAGAGCCAGGATTCACATGCAGGCAGCTGAGTCATACAGCCTGCAATCTTCCTGTCACTCCGTTCAACTGAAAACCAGTCCTCTGTTTCTCTCGGGGTCTTTCTCCGTATCTTCATGTTTAAAGAAATCCGTCACAACTGGTAACCAAGAGTTAAAAGGAAAATACGGAGGACCATTTGCTCATGGAGTTTACACGGTAGTTGAGGAGATAAGTATATATATAAAAAATACATATATATATATGTACATATATAATATTTCTATATATATAGTATTTTGATTAATGATGATGCAAATTAAAAAAAGAAAGAAGCTAAGATCAATGTGTCAGTAATGTTCTGTTAGATAGTATGATTAGGGAAGATCTCTATTAACATTTAACCAGAGCTCTTAATGACCCATCCTCATAACATTTTATTCCTAACAAATAATTTCTTTAAGAGAACATATGTTTCTTTTATATTTTGTAAGAAACTTGAACACTTGCATGTTTCGTGATAAGTATATAGATACAACCAAACCTACTGCTATATAGTTATCACCTCCTTATTATAAAAAACTGATAAGGATATTACAAAAGGGGAAAATAAAGATAAACCTAGAGAAAAAATTATTAAATATTAGTAAAATATTACTAAAAATTCTTAAATACCAGTAAAATTCAAAATATTAGTAAACAATATACAATAATATATTTAGAAAACTAGGCTGTTATGGCTAAGGAAAGTTTATACCAGGAATGCAAAGCAGTTTAAATGTATAAAACCAATTATGTAAGTGCAGTCAACATACTAATACAATAAAGAAAAATACACATAAGAATTTCCAGAG